TTAGAGAAGTGGTTACACAATAGTTTGACTTCCTCCACAAAAAAGCTGACATCCAAAAGCAGCTGAAAACTTTACAGGACACTTTGTGAAACCATGACAGGTTTTCTTAACCTCGACCTACAGTTAGGAGCTCTGTCTGTCTGTTCGTGCTGTTAACCTGCTCGTCACCTGCTGGACCGATGGACATTAATTCAACAATACAGGCAGGTCTCACCAGGAAGTCACTGCCCTCTGCTGGTTGCATCCTGTATTGCACTGTTATGGGAAATCACTGAACATCATTGGTTTGACTTTATGTGAATAAAAAGAAAAACCGAAAAGAGAGAACACTTTGCTCCTTTATAACATTTTTACCAGTTTTGTGCACAACTAGACATTTTACAAGCTTTCATAGCTGTATAATGGCACAGTAAGTGAAGCTTTTTCTTCTTTCCTTCACTTTTCTGCTCTCAAACCTCTCACTCATTGTCTCTGTGAGTATTTGACGCCTGTTTTTTTTTTGACTCTCTGCTGCAGATAAACCACGTTGGACCAGTTCCTTCCTCCTACTACGTGCGGGACCATGTGAACGTGGATTACGAGCAGTCTGTAACCATCAGCCGAGTTTCTTCAGAGCAACTGGACGTTGAGATCTTGTTCCCCGGCTGTGTTCTCAGGTCAGTGATAAAAGTCATACAGAGCCTATGATTAAAGGTCCTGTCAAAAGGAGACAGTCATGTAGAAAGAATAGTGTCTGTAAATTTCTCAAAGTGGAGTCGATGAGCCGTAGCTAAGAGGTGTTAAAAAGAATCATTACAGAGACAGCGTGACTCAAAGCCACAGAGGCTCTGATATGATTATGGCTCATCACGCCAGCTTGTTGTGAAGTCACTCACTTCATTCATTGTGCGATTAAAGGTTGAAGCACGCCATCTATCTTTGGAGCGTGGAGAAATAGATCAATCTTTATCTTTAAAATGATCTTATTCGGTTCACTTATATCACAAGAAATCAAACGACAAACCAAAAGGGTCTCTGTTCAAGCTACAGCTGAAAAAAAGGAAGATTAAATCAGCTACATCTTTAAACTTTAATTTAAGCACAGAATCGTGACAAACGAAGAAACAGAACAACAAAGTTAGGTTTGCTATTTTGAACTTGTGACAGTCATGCTGACAACTAGGGCTGCCACGATTAGTTGACTAGTCACGATTACGTCGACTATCAAAATCGTCGACAACTGATTTAATAGTCGACGGTCGTTTGAAGCTTTGTAAGATCCCAAAAGACGCAGGAATAAGTAGTAGGATTTAAGAGTGTAATACCGGACTGAAACAGAAGATGGCAGCACTGCGTGTACAAGGATGCCAGCTGCCGTTAAACACCAAAGAAGAAGAAGCTGTGTCCCAGAATTCATAGCGCAGCCCAGCTTCCAACAATGGAGGCAGCTAGTTAGTTTTAATATTACTCTTATTATTCTTTCTGGGTCACAAAATAAACGTTTTACATATTTTCAGGCGAGAATGTAGCTGTGTAAACCTCAAATATCTGCTCAGTTTATCAAGACACCACATATTTTCAAAAGCGCTCCGACGTTTTCAGAGACGTCTGTTACCCACTAGCTCGATAGCTAGCCGGGGGCAAGGCTCACTAGAGCCGTGAGAACACCGGACTCCTGGCAAATCGTTTTCAAACCCACTGCTGTCCTTCGCTACTCAGGTTAAACATGATATATAAGTCAAATTTAATAAACTATCATCTTGTCTTTATTTTTAGTTAGCACATACCTTAAACACTTAAAGCTTTAAGCTAATGATAGTTATATAAGAGCAGATGCATGCTAGTGCAATAAGCTGTAGTTTTACGTTGAACGGATGCATGATCTGATTAGTCGACTAATGCAAAAATAATCGCCGACTAGTCGACTATCAAAATAATCGTTTGTGGCAGCCCTACTGACAACGTAAAACCAAGTGAGTAGGGTCCCAGTCAACCTAAGCTGCCACTTATTGCTAGGGAAGAATGTGCCTGGTTGTAGTTCGTCCTCTCCCAGCTGTAGTGAGACCATAGAGGGAACAAAACATGGACATGGCTATCATGACATCATTCACTGGTTTCTAAAGTCCCATTGTGTAGCCTCGAGACAAGCGTTTCTGCCATCACCATCTTGGTTGTGAGAAACCACGGCTAACTGTAGAGCACAGTCTAGCTTTCAAAATAAAGGTCTTTGCTAATTCAAAGCATTTTTACATCCTGTTAGGTGGCAGTTTGCCAGTGACGGTGGAGACATCGGATTTGGGGTCTTTCTAAAGGCCAAAAAGGGTGAATGGAAGAAGGCGGCTGAGATGGAGGAAATCGTGCCCAGTCAGCGATACAACGCCCACTTAGTACCCGAGGATGGCTCACTGACCTGTGAGCGTCCAGGAGTCTGTGAGTAGCCTTGTGTTCGAATGCTTCTGTGATATTAAACCCAACTGTCTAAATACTCCATTCTGTCCTCCACAGATGTGCTGAGATTCGACAACACCTACAGCATCTTCCAGGCCAAACGCATCAGCTACAGTGTTGAGGTCCTGCTTCCTGATCATTTACAGCCCGCGCAGAACAACGGGAAGTCTGGCGACCACGTGGAAGTGGAGTGCGACAGTCAGTTATAACAAAGATGATGTCATCAGATCAGCGATGTTTAGCCGCTCAGAAAGCACAGCCTGACATACTTGATTTGAACATGTCGTGTGGATTAATAGTATTATATCTCAGTGCTGGGTGACTCGTATTCATGTGGCATCTATTTAGAAACTTCGCTTCACCCACTCTCCTCTCAGACATCACGGATCCCAGATTTTCAGCCCATTTTTTCGGCCTGTTTATCTTTACTCTGTTATTTTTGTTCCACATCAGCACTTGTGTTTCAAACAGGCGCCAAATAAATGAGCTGGTTATAACACAGCGTGATACGGTGTAAACAAACAGCTGAAACCAATAATGTTCAATTAGTATCAAACGTTGTCCCTGTGCAAAGAAGTATTTTCTATAGACATTTTCTGAGTAGATGCAGTAAAATTAAAGTAAAACTCTAAATATTTGAATTTATTGCAAAATGCACAAAATTTTGTGCTGTTTGTCCTTTTTTGATTCATCATTTATCAGCTGTGCCTGTAGTGATCACGCTTTCCCTGTACATACACTGTCATGTCAAAAAGAACATTTCACAGGACTCTGCAGTGAAAGCTAAGAATCGCGTCATTCAGTAGCTCAGAACCACTTTCAGCACCGTCATTACTTCAGCTCGTTGACATTTGCAGGTATTTGTTTATGCACAGCTCTCCAAAGGTCCTGTAACAGCATTTCAGTCAGCTTGAGGTCTGGATATTGACCGGAGCATTGCAGCACCACGAGTCTTTTCTTTTTCAGCATTCTGTTGGAGATTCGCTTTCATCTGAATATTTTTTTCAAAGAATTGCATTAATGTAATTTATTATATAATTTAATATTTAAGTTTTAAGTCCGAGACTAAACATATGAAGGCAGAAATGAATATAATAAGTCCTCTTGTTTGGTAAAATATACAGTATATATTATTCCTGCTATTCCAGTGAGTGACTCTTGTTAGTCTGTCTCAAAGCTGTACAGAAATAAAAATGGAATAATTGTAATATTTGTTTTGTTTGATTTGAAGCTTTCATGGTTCCAACATTGATGCTTCACAGATTTAAAGCATAAAACTATACTGATGCAAAACAAATGTAAAAACCAAACTGGACAGAGTTTAGATACAGGCAGTGTTGTAATAACTCAGAATGTGACACTATGGTAAATGGACTCGTTCTTATATAGCGCTTTTCTACTCATTGGCAATCAAAACACTTTACATAACTTGTGCATTCACCCATTTGCACAAGCACATTGTTCTAAGTAACATTCACACACATTCATACTCCAATGGATGCATCGGAGAGCAATTTGGGGTTAATATCTTGCCCAAGGATATTTGGGAAGCCAGGAATTGAACCACCAACCTTCCGATCAATAGATGACCTGCTCTACCAGCCTCAGCTCCTTTCTTCTGGGAATTTGCTTCCCCGGTTATTTTTCTGAACGTGATCAAAAATCTTTTAATAATCATTAAATTAAGAAAAATAAACTAGTTTTTAAATTTTTTTTTTTACTAAAAATGTAACATAAAATAAGGATGGCATCCAAAAAGGAAGTGAATGTAGATGTCAGTCATTCAGGTCTGGGCTCATGTTTTTTTTCCTGTCACCTGTGGATTACCTTTAAAACAACCAGAAAAAAGCATCAACATAAGGTAAATTAGAATCAAACGCCACAGCAGTATTGCTCACCTGATGATTCACGCTGTGCTCATTCGAACGTGTAGTAAACTCTGTGCTGTGACATCTGGGGAATAGTCAGTTATTTTCTCTTGAGGTTATTTATTTCTTCCAAATTATAAAAAAAGTAATTCAGACTGAAATGAGCAACTCTCCCTGACTGTATGTTCATCAACGACCGGCTGAGCAGGATTACAGTATTAATGCATCATAAAGATGAGCTACAAATCAGACAAAATTAGAATCGACCTGCATGTATACAGCGCTTTTGCAGTCTTACTGGCTACTTTGAGTGATTTAGACTACAATACATTTACCCACCCATTCATACAGCACTTTATGCAATAAGTACTTTAAGTACTTATCCAGCACACAACCATTTAAAATCACCAGTGCACTTAACAGTCTCTGAGTACCCAGAATAATAGAGCCTGCACAAGCCACACAAAACATCCCAAGCACCGCTTCCCCAGAACACCCACAGTACCCGGGGCCTTGTGGTTTGTGCTCTTTAGTTTAAACTGTTTTTTTTTTTCTGTGAATTTTTATAGCTAAACCAACAGTTACCGTGATGAAGACTGAAGGTGTGTGTTTGCAAAGACAGAAAGATTAAACCTGGAGAGCAGGTAAGGCAGGAATCGCTGAGCGGGAACAGCGAGCTCTGTGACCAAAGACACGAGGTGCTGACTTGATTCATAAATATTTTATGTACAAAATAATGTTACAAGTATATTCAACATATGTCACATTAGAATAATGATAAGTACTTTACATACAGTCTTCATATTTCACAGTACATACATGGGAGGAAAGAAATCACAATTCTAGCTGATGTTTACAATAAATACATGCTCTGGATGTAGGCATTGTTTCATTTCTTACAAACTTACAGTGAAAGAGAGTGCAAGAGTTCGGGTGTAACTACAGATGTGGCTCACTTCTACAGTTGCTTTCGTGCAGCCAGTTTGGAAAAGTAAAAAGTGGGATGTCTGCAAAGGCCACATCTGTCAAATACAACCCGAAACATGAGAGAAAGCTGAATGAGGCTCGCTGAACACGGAGGTCCTTGGCACATAAACAGACAAGAGGGTGGAAAAAACCCCACTTACAGTCAGCCTGTTTGCTCTGCCTGTATTTTCTTTCAAAGTTTTACGTTAATGCAAAATGCCACCTCGTGTTTGGAAACACGAGAACGGTCAAATATGTGACGGTGCACGCGCGGCGAGGCTGCAGCGGCTGATTGTATCTGTCCTAGTTTGTAAAAACTGTTAAAGTAAACAAAAAGATCATGTTTGGTCCTATATTCGTGTTCACGCTGTGTAACACTTAAAAGGGTTTTTTAGCTGTTGTTTCCATTCACAGCATTTTGTCACCATCACAAATTAGCATTAAATCAAAACCTCAAACACCCAACGGCCCAGCAGTCAGTCAGAGCTTTTGCTTCTGAATAACATCTTTTCTTTAAATTTACAAGTCAGTGTTGTCATATTTCAAGTCTCTTAAAGCAGGCTAGCTTCGTTAGCTAACTCATCTGCTTATTTTAAGGCAACGCAATCCATAAAAACTTGCTACAAAATCAAACCACAGCCCGTATTAGTGCTCCTGCAGGTTTCATAGATCAGTCTGAAGCTAACATCAAAGGGAAAAATACGTCTGAGACATTTCCTGTTTAATTACCTGTAAATCATCAGGATCTGACGCTGTATCACAACATTTCACACTGTTAAATTTGGCTGCAAATGTGTGACGCTCACTCTGTGGATAATGCATATCCTGACTACTGTGTGATGACTTTCTTAAGTTGTGTTAATTAACATATGTTTGTTACAGTTACAACTTCGTCTATGACTAAATTGTGTATCAGTCTTAAATGTTTCGGCTTTCTGCAACAAATCAAATAAAGTAAACAAATAAATTTGTTCACTTTAGTGTGTTTTCATGACATCAGGTTTTGGATCCAGAGGTTGTTCCAGAGTCACACACGGAGTTTAAAGGCCTCAAAGGCTCAAACATTATAAGAAGAATATGGGCTCGTGTAATCTCAGTGATACTCACAGTCAGTTCACCAGCAAGGACTACACCCTGAAACACATTTAGTTTATAGAGGGTGAGCAAAGACCTACAGTGGTGTCGGCCTCACTGAGGGTCGGCAGGGGCCCCTGGAGTCATGAAAAAACAGAGGGAGGTTGTTTATAGACGCATGAGTGAAAGGGGAGTGTTTGAGCTGTCGTCCTGCTGCTAAACTTCAGAGGTTACTGTTTAGGTCTAGTTTTAAAATGTGTCGCGCGGTCAAGTATCTTGGTGGTATTTGAAAGTCAGAATGATTTTATCCAGATTAACTCACTAAAATATTAAATTATGAAATGACACCACAAACAAAAGCAAAGTTAACTGGATGGATGCTATGCTGAGCTTCCCTTCACCTGAAATGATCACAGCAGATGGCTGCCGTTCCTGAGGACGTTTCCAGAAGTTTCTTCCTGTTAAAAGAGTTTTCTGTCGTTGCTAAGAGCTTTCTCGTAGGGTTGGTTGGATTGGTGATTCTCTCTAAAATCATCGTCTGATATAAAATCCATTGATAGGACTGGTTTTTTTTTTTACATTTTGAGAGACGATCTCTTCCTCAAAATTTGCCCTTTTTAACAAATCCATTTTTCTCATTCCAACTCTGATAAACTCGTTGTACGTCATCAGGCAGAAGGGTCTCCGTCAGTTAAGGATGAAGGTGAAACGCTGCTCACAGAAAACAGACAAAGCCGCGCTTCTAAACCTCGCTTTCAGTAAAGCCCGTTTCGGCTCATCTGCCTTCCTCCGCGGGACGAGTTTCCGATTTCAGCTTGACAAACTCTTTGGCCACCTCGTCAGCAGGACGCTGGGACAGGATACGCATCACCGTCATGCCCGTCTCGTCGGTGTGAATGCGCGGCCCGAGAGGACACCAGCACACGCAGCTCTTGCGGTCGGCCACGTCGCGCAGCTGAACGACGGCCACGCCGACCACCCGGTCCGCCCGTCCGAAGCAGTAATCCTTCACCGTCACCTGCAGCTCGTAGCAGTCTGGGGACTCTTTACCCAGGACGCTGCGAGCAGAGGAAACAATTAACCATCTGCGGTATCTCGACCCACTCAACAATCTTACTTGCTGCCGCTTCAGATTTCCAACTCACAACTGGAAAGCCTCGTTGAATTTAGCCGTCCAGCTGTTGTTCTTGGATTTTGTGGTGAACTTGCGCTTCTTGTCAGCGAGGAATGGACCGACCATGGAGACGTCGACGAAAGGCCGAAACATCCCAGACGTCTGCCACTTCATGTCGTTCACCACGATGACTGGAGGGGAGATGAGAGAGAGGGTGAGCAGGTAAAGGACAAGAGAGACAAACACAAAGCAGTGGGGGTGATGCTACTGCATGCACGCATATCTATTAGGGCTGCCACAAACGATTATTTTGATAGTCGACTAGTCACCGATTATTTTTGCGATTAGTCGACTAATCAGATCATCATCCA